GCTCTCTCCTCGTGGCGGGAGGGGCGGCGGCGGCGCCTTAGCCCGGCCTCACAGACAAATCGCTGGAGAAACTCTCGGGCAATATCCGGAGGCTGCCTCGGGGGGGCCGGCTGGCGCGGTCCGCGCACCCTATACTCCACACTCTTAAAAATGAATATTTTAAAAATTATTTTACTAAAAGATTGCAGCGAAATGTGCATCCTGTCTATGTCGATCGACGGTATGCCTATAGTTTGATTTGCACTTTTGTCGAATCGAAAGTGAGCTCTTCTATCCTGCGTCACTGTGTCTGGTAGTCAAAACAAAGTACATACACCCTCTCTCTCTCTCTCTCTGCCCCCAACACCGCGGTTATTCGGCTTATCCGCCGGGCCGCCCGCTCGGCGTGCAGCGCGACGCTCGCGGTCCGACCCGACCCGCCCGATCCCACTTTGCATAGCGCCGCCCAAACTTTGTCAGGGACGAGGGGGAGGGAGGGATCCCGCAGGCAGAGAATGAAACGGACGTCAACTCACTGGTGGGGTCGGGGCAGCGGGGCCCGTCACAGGCAGTCACACACACTCGGGGGCCACGCACGACAGACGTGCTCTCTCGACGGCGGAGCACCTCTTTCGACGATCCTTTAACGAAATTTGGGTTTTAAATTACTTAAAGCAATGATCTTGCATCCATTAATACAAGGTAAACGCACGTTAAAACCGTGTGAAGCTGAGCTAAATGTGCGTCTGCCTTGGCCTGCGGCGCGCTAAAATGAAGACGTTATCGCGATTTTGGTTGGCATGCCTGTCCACCTCACATCCCACGTCTCACGCCAGGCGCCTCACTTCACGCCGTCTTCCGGGCGGTCTCCCCTTGCGCTTCCTGACAGAGCTGAGCATTTAAAGTTAAAGTTTAATTTCAAGTTCAAGTTAAGCTCAGCAATAATGACTCTGCACTGAGGCGAGAGCGGCAATGGAGAACATGAGCCTAGCCTATCAGACAGTGAAAGAGGGTTCCGGTCGAATGAAGTAACTTCCGCAGTTCAAGAAAACTATCTTAACTGATTTATTAGACGGAGAACAAAACAAGCAGAGCAAACGGTTGAGTACAATTCCCAGATCATTCTCGAGCTACTCCTCGTCGTGGGGAATGCGGATCCAAATCGTCCCCGCCACGCCGTCGTCGTGGAGGTCCGGTTCGGTGCAGTGGCCCTCGGGGTGCGAGTACAAGTTGACGAAGAGCCGGCCCCACAGCGCCTGGCGCAGGCCCGGGTCCAGGCCGCACGCGTCGCAGCCGGCGCAGTAGTTGGCGACGCGCACGTGCAGCGCGGGGTTGGCGGCCGCCAGCGCCCTGGCGCTCGCGCCCCGGTGCCAGGCGTTGGCGCACGCCAGCGCGTCGAGGCGGAGGCTGCGCAGGGCCGGGGCCGTGGCGGCGCCGAGGCCGCGGAGCACCTCGTCCGAGTGCCAGCCCAGAGAGAGCTGGCGCAGGGCCGGCAGCCGGGGCAGGGCCTCGAGCAGCGGCTCGGGCTGCAGGTGCTCGTCGGTGACGCCCCCGAGTCTGCTGGAGGCCGAGATGCTCAGCGACTGCAGCGACGACTGGCTGGGCGAGGCCAGGGCGCGCAGCAGCTCGCCCACCACCTCCACGGAGGACGCGTCCTCGTTGTGCACCAGCCCCACCTCCCGCAGCTGGCCCGCCCCGCGCAGCAGCGCGCCCGCCCCGCGGACGGCGGCGGCCTCCGGCTCGTCCTCCACCTCCAGGGTCAGGCTCGTCAGCGTCTTGCAGACCAGCAGCGCCTCCAGGCCCGGCAGCAGCGCGCACGACAGCTCGCGCAGCCTGGGCAGCTCGGCCAGCCGACCCACCTGCGAGGCCATGCTGGCCGGCAGGTAGCACAACTCCTCGAGCGTGGCGGCGTGCCTGGCGACCACAAACTCCAGCAGCTTTTCCAGACCCCAGTAGAAGTTGCAGTGGAACTTCTTGATGGAGCTGTAGACGGAGGGCCTCTCGGCGCTGCAACTCGTATTGAGCACGTTGGGGAAGTGGCCCTGGTCGAACACGTCGTTGCTGATCTCCACGTCCTCCAGGCCGGCCGTCGAGGCCACGGCCTCCAGGAAGGGGCGCGCGTCCGCGTCCGCCAGCGCCGAGTGCACGCGCACCACCAGCTTCCGCAGGCGGCCGAGCGCGGCCTGGCGCCGGATCACCATGGCCGCGTTCAGGCCGCCAGAGCTCCTACTGACGGCGACCTCGAGCGACCTGGCGGCGCAGCTCGTCGTGTAGGGCAGCTGGCACGGGAACAGCTCCCAGGAGAAGGGCAGACGCAGGGTGCCGAGGCAGGGCGCCAGGCGGAGCGCGGGGCACGCCGAGCCGTCCGCCACGAAGGGCACGCACTTGTCGCGCCAGACGAACGGGTGCAGCGCCAGGCCGCGGAGCCTGTGGCACACCAGGCGGCACCTCAAGAGGTCCTCCACGGGCAGGCGCTTCAGGACCTCCAAGAGCGCGTCGTCGGGCAGGTGCTCCATGCTCGCGGAAACTGCAAGCGCAAACGTATAACGCGTGTTACTGGCGCCGGCATTCGGGGGCGGTGGGGTGACATCTCAAGGGCTTCACGCCACCCTAGAACGACCATGCAGATTAGACTCCATGGCGAGCAACACACTGGCACACCGATGATAATCTACTTATCGAAATCGATCGATTCCTTTGAAGACAACCGTCTCGCACGCTATGGGAAAGCCCCCCCCCCCCACGATTAATATTAATCACGAGGATATTAAATTTATCGCGGCCTTCCAAACATGATCTGCAGTTTCTGGTTGTGATTCAAAGTTCGCAATTAAAAAACCTCTCTCCTTCTACAACACAGTAATTAACTTAATTAACTTAAGTTATGGCGCCTTGAGCGAATCAAAAAAGCTCGCCTCCAATCATAGGAAAGGGTTAAGACAAAATTACGATGTGTGTTTAAACAATGTTTTTTTTATTTAGAGGGCAAATGACTGTAAATACAAGTTGGTACATAGACATGTACAATCCATTCGTCGCACATCAAAAACAAAGTTTTCAGCACAGCAGACGAGCACAGACAAAAAAGCTTTCTTTCAGGGGAGTATAACCCCCCCCTCCCCCCGAATACAATACAATAATAGTGAAAAACATGATACAAATTGCGTATAAAATTTATTGGACACTGGACAAAATGTGAATGTGGAAAGACAATGATTCAATAATTCGCAGACTGATTCAGAAGTCACTCGTCGCGAGGAACACGGACCGATAGTTGTGCGCGAGTGTGGAGGTCCGGTGCCGGGCACTGGCCTTCGGGGTGCGAGTAGAAGCAGACGGACGCACTCCGACGCATATCTATATGACAGGCCAGATCACACACCTCACAGTCGTCAAAGTGGCAGGAACCAAAACGAACGTGGAGTGAAGGGGGAATCGTCTTGGCCGTGTCACTATGCAGCCATGCATGCCCGCACTTCCCACGGAATCGAAGCATCCGCAAGGCCGGGGCCGTTGTAGAGCTGACAATACGCAGAAGTTCCTCCGAGAAAAAATCCAGATAGAGCTCTCGTAGGGCTGGGAGCCGACACACCACGATGAGCAGCTCCATGTTCAAGGAGAGTCTGTAGTCAGACATATCAGGATCATCGTCGGTAGAGCATTGAATACTCAATGTTTGCACCGACGACTGACCCGATGCACCCAGGGCGCGGAGTAGATGAGCCGCTACGGCCAAAGAGGAGGCCTCATCGTTGTACTCCAGAACCACATGACGCAGTTGGCCCGCTTTACGGAGTAGCGCCGCTGCTCCTTGAACGGCGACGCTGGCCTCCGA